CTTGCTTGGTTTTTGAACCAGAGGCTCATTTATTTTGCAAAATTTAGTCTAAGCTCAGCTTAAAAACCACAAAACCAATTATTGATATTAATGTTATTTTGTTTGTTTCACTCGATTTAGATATTCATAGTTTTTGAGCAACCAAGAATTTTTTAAGCACSTTTATTTACTCCAATTTTAGGTTTTTTGCAAAATTTCGCTAAAACGAACTGAAAAATCAACATGTCAAGTCGAAAATTACATTAATTTTGCATTTCTTGAGAGTTTTAGCATGTTTTTCAGCAATTATTTTTCAAAATTCGTTAAAAACATGCCAAAAAAAACAGAGAATTAGGCCGAAAATGATATAGTTTTTTTCCATTTTTGGATGTTCAAGCAGATTTTTAAGCTGAAAASTCTGTTTTTTCGCAAGAGTTTGCCATAGAGTGTCGAAAATCACTAAATTGTTATAAAAAAAAGATTATATTATGATATTTTTACCTAACTCTTTAACTTGATTATTTCCTCAAATTTTCTCGAAGAAAAAATAATCAAAAACCACCAAATGGGTTCAAAATAGTTCTATTTGTCTTTTACAAAATATTACTAAAGTCGAAAGTCACAACTTATTTTAGTTTTTTCGAATCCTTTTTCAGTTAGAAACACAATTATTTTGCAATTTTTTTTTAAAAACAAGCCACAAATTCAACAAAATAGGCCAAAAACGTTTTTTTTTTGTCTTTTTCGAGTGTTTAAGGATGTTTTTGAGAGATGAGAACACAAAAACTTCGAAATATTGCATTGAAATAGGCTAAAAAAATACAAAATCAAATCGAAATTGAGTTCATTTTCAAGCTTGTTGCAACCGAATTCTAATATCTGCTAATTTTTTCGAAATGAAAAAAACTGTTTTACGAGCATTTTTCAACCAGAATTTTTTTTTCAAAAAAGACCAAAAACCACCAAATTGGTTTAAGATAGTTCTGTTTGGTTTTTTCCAAGATTTTACTAAACAGGATTGAAAATGACAATTTATTTTTGTCTTTTTCGAATACTTTTCCAGCTAGAAACACAATTATATCGCAAAATCCAAAAATTCAACAATTTTTTCAAGTGTTTTGCAAGTTTTTGAGATAAAAACAAAGAAAATTCTAAAAATTTTGT